CAGCCCCTAACACAGGGCCCAGCAGGGTGGGCTACCAAAAAACTATTTCTTCTCTCTGCTCCTAGATATCATGCACTTATCTCTGTCATTTCACTCAAGCTTATCCCCCCAAATATTTTTAATTATTAAAGAGTAACATAGGAAAAAATAAATAGTAAAAGTTAACACGTAATACTCACACCAATAAACAACCACTATTAGTGGTCTGAAGTCTTACCATGCATTTATTTAACCAAAAATAACTGATGCAACAAAATGTAACAAAAATATATCTTTGTTATTTACTGAGCTATAATTTGTAGGCAATTAAGTTCCCTGTATTTGAACAGATAGTTCTGTGAATGTAACTATTGTCAGGATAGGGAGTGTGTTCATCACCCTAGAAGTTTCCTCATGCTCCTTTGTGGTCCAGACACTTCCCAGGCCCTGCCGTTCATTTGGTTTCGACTTTTCAAGAAAGTCGTAGAAATGCAGTCAGTACACAGCTTTCTTACCTGACTTCTTTCATTTACCTTACTGCTTTTAAGCTTCATCCATATTGCTGCATGCTCCAGTGGTCCATTCCTTTCCAGTAACATGTTGCCTTTCTTCAAGGAAACTTCCATCCTGGATAGAATGCTATTGTTTAGATATATGACAATTTATTTATCAGTTATCAACTTGAACTTTTGGAACTGTTTCTGTTTGGCAATTTTGAATGATCTGCTATAAACACTCCACCTCTGTTAGGTTTTTATACATCTATAAGTCTTCATATTTTAAGGGAAAAATTTTAAGCATAAATATCTCGCGTAATATACCAAGTTGTATAGTAAAGGAGCTCAGGTGACCTAGTGATAAGAAGTCACACTGTAATCCCAAAAGCATGCAGCTCAAATCCACCAGCTGCTCTGCAGGAAAAGGATAGGCAATTTCCAGTGTAATTAACAGCCTCTGAAATCCTGCTGGAGGGTCTACTATGGGTTGGGCTTGACTTGAAGACACATAACAATAACAAAAACATAATAAGGACAGCCTTCATTTTATAAGAAAATGCCAGATCATTTCTTAAATTATTTTACCATTTTGCATTCTTATTAGCAATATATGAGAAGTCCAGTTCCTCTGTAGTCACTAGGACTCTATTTCCTGTTCTGTTCTTTGACCTTGAGTCATCAGGTCTGATATGAAGACTGAGCTGCTATTAGATATATAAATGAAATAGGTAGTTTGTTGTGTTTGGGAAGTTCATTGTTCTATTTGGTACAGCTCTTAACAGTTTGCTGCACTGAGATAACTTGTGGGTTGCTGTGATACTGAAAGCTGTGCCCCTGGCGTGTCAAAGGCCATAAAGGTTATCCATGGTAGACAGGTTTTAGTAGAGCTCCCAGACTAAGACAGAGTAGGAAGAAGGATTGGCCATATACTTCTTAAGTAACAGGCCTCTGAAAACTCTATGAACACAGTGACTGCCACAATGGGCTCTAGAGTTCAGGAAATGTGAAGATGGCACAGGATAGGTCAGGGTTTGGATCCACTGTTCATAGAGTTGTATGAGTTGTCCTCAACTTGATGACACCTAACAACAACATCCTAATATGTATGCATTGTTATTTCCTCCTTTCAATTTCAATTTCCATTTGCATTCTCCTAATGTCCAGTTTATGAGAGAGGGTGAAAAGATTGAGATTATTAACAGTTTCAGTTTGCTTGGTTCCACAGTCAACACCAGCAGCCAGGAAATTAAAAGAATTGCATTGGGAAAATCTGCTGTCAGAAACCTCTCCAGAGTACTGAAAAGCAATGATGTCAGTCAAGAGATTAAGGTGAACCTGGTCTGGATCATGGTCTTTGCAATTACTTGCTGTGCGTCAGGAAGCTGGACAATGACTAGACATGATAGATGGAGAATTGATGCCTTTGAGCTGTGGTGCTGGAGAAGAATATTGAATATACCATGGACTGCAATGAGAACAAACAGTTTTGTCCTGGAGAGGGTAAAACCAGGCATCTCCTTGGAGACAAGGATTCTGAAGCTCTATCTGACATATTTTGGGCATGTTACCCAGAGGGACCAGTCCTTGGAGACAGATATCATGTCTGGGAGGATGGAACACAGCCTAAGAGTAAAAGATCCTAGATGAAATGGAGGGGCTCAATGACTGGGGTAACGAGGGTAGGTGTGTCAGAGACATTAAGGTTGGTTCAGGATAGAGCAGGGTTCAGAGCTGTTGTACAGAGGGTCACTATGAGTCATAAGCAACTCGATGGCACATAACAACAAACAATAATGTCTAGTTTTAAATTGCCAGTTGCTCTGTATGCATCTGAAAGTTGGACAGTTGGCTAGGAAAGGCTAAAGAAGAATCAATGCCTTTGAATTGTGGTGTTAAAAAAAAAGTCTTCAATTTCTCATGTACTGCCAAAAGTACAAGCAAGACTCCCTTGGAAGGAATACAACCATAGTGCTCCTTAAAAGGCAAGAGTAGTGAAGCATCATCTCAAACACTTTGAGCATATTTTCCAGTCCTTGGAAAAACACATTATGCTGGGAAATGTAGAGAATCAGTGAAAGAAAGAAAAACCCTCACTAAGATTGATTGACATAGAGACTGTAACAGTGGGCTTAAGCCTGGTGAAAACAATGATGATGGTGCAGGATAGGACAAGGTTCAGATATGTTAGTCATAAGGTCACTATGAGTTGTAGCCAACCCAACGGAATATGAAAACAATCATGTCTAATGATATTGAGTATCTTTTTATGTCCTTATTTAGTGTCAGTGTCTATACCAGGAAGTTACTGGCAAAATATTTTCCCATTTTAGGTTTGTTTAAATTAAAAACTAATGGCATTAAAGGGAGCTCTGGTGGCCTAGTGACAAGAAGTTGAACTGCAATCCCAAAGGCATGCTGTTTGAGGCTACCAGCTACCCTGTGGGAGAAAGATGGGCAATCTCCTCCTGTGTAATTACCTGCCTCTGAAAACCTGCTGAATGATCAGCTATCATTTGGTTCTGACTCAACAGTACACAACAACAACAACAATGACATGAAGGTTCTATCTTCTTATGATGTTGTAAGAATTCTTTATATAGTCTTTGTTGTTGTTTGTTATGTGCCGTCGAGTCGCCTGCGACTCATAGCGACCCTATGTACAACAGCCCTAAACTCCGCTCTGTCCTGTGCCAATCGCACTGTCTCTGACACTCCCATCCCAATTATCCCGGTCACTGAATCAATACACCTCATAGAGGGCCTTCCTCTCCTGCGCCGTCCCTCCACCCTCCCAAGCATGATGTCCTTCTCTAAGGACCGGTCTCTCCTCACAACATGTCCAAAGTATGTTAGAGGGAGCCTCAGAATCCTTGCCTCCAAGGAGCCACCCGGTTTAACCCTTTCCAGGACAAATCTGTTTGTTTTCCTAGCAGTCCATGGTATTCTCAATACTCTTCTCCAGCACCACAGCTCAAAGGCATCAATTCTCCTTCTATCCTCCCTGGTCATTGTCCAACTCTCTGATGCATAACAAGTGATTGCGAAGACCATGGCCTGTATCAGACGCACCTTAGTCTCCAGAGAGACACCATTGCTCTTCAGTACTTTGGAGAGGTCCCTAACAGCAGACTTTCCCATGGCAATGCTCCTTTTAATTTCCTGGCTGCTGGTGCCAAGACTGTTGACTATGGAGCCAAGCAAACTAAAGCTGTGTACAATCTCAATCTCTTCACCATCCATCCTGATGCTGCCAATTGGTCCAGTGGTGAGAATCTTTGTCTTCTTGACATTGAGCCTCAATCCATATTGTAGGCTGCAGTCCTTGATGCTCTGCAGCAGGCGCTTCAGGTCCTCTTCAGTTTCAGCAAGCAGGGTTGTGTCATCTGCATAACGCAGATTGTTGATAAATCGTCCACCAATCTTGACCCCACATTTCTCCTCATAGAGCCCAGCCTCCCGGTTAATCTGTTCTGCATAGAGGCTGAAAAGGTATGGAGATAGGATGCATCCCTGGCGTACGCCCTTCCCAATTTTGAACCATGCAGTGTTCCCTTGCTCTGTTCTGACGACTGCCTCCTGGTCCAAGTATAAGTTTCGCATTAGAACGATACTAGTATTTTATTATTTAGGAATGTGTTTTATCAATATTTTTCCTAGTTTGTGATCTTTTTGAAGAACTGAACATTAGTTGTGAATTTTATTGAAGCACAAATACATTTTGATAATTATCTGCACATACCAAACTTTGATTAACACTGAAGATGTAATAACATTTAAGTTTAAATTTTTTTTTAAAAAAAACAACTTGATATCCATTGATTGTGTTGTTGATTGCCTTCGAGTCGAGAATGACTCATAATAATCCTATGAACAAAAGGCCTGAAGCCTCTCTACAACTATCGGCATACATCAAAATTCATAAGAGTTTTCAGAGGCATGTTACTTAGGAATTGGATGCCATTCCAGCTTCCAAAATCTATTTATTACTAACATCATGGGACATAATACTGGGAAAGTGAAGGGACAGTGAAAAAGAGAAAGACCCTTAACCAGGTGTTTTGACATATTGAATGCAGCAATTAGCTTGTGTGTGTCAGAGATGGTGAGGATGACACGAGAAAGGACAGTGTTCAGATTGGTTTTTCATAGGGTTGATATGAGTCATGCTTGACCCGACAGCACCTAACAACAAAAGAATCTTGAAGGCATCCCATAGTATATCTCAGAGCTAGCACATTGTAGGTGCCTATTTGATAGAGACTTGGGAAGAAATGAAATTCCATTGAACTCTATTCTCGCCTCTACTTCCTCTGTGAAAGAAGGGAAGCATTTCCTACCTCCTGGAGATGCCTGCATTCCCACATAAAGAGAGAGAAAGAGAGGTTCCATCTATGATAAATTTGCCAAGGTAATACAAGTTCCCAGACAACTGGTGACAAGCCCCGCTGCTGCTCAGCAAAGCCCTAAAGGGGCCCCGCCCAGTGCTTATAAAGCCAGGGTGTACTGGGGCAGCCACAGCTGGCACTCCAGAGCACTGGCACACACTATGGCAAATGAAGTGCAAGTCCTGCTCTCCCCGCTGAAAGGGGGGCATCCTCCTGCAGGTAGGCTGCCCTCCTGCCCTCTCTCCTGCAGACAGCAGCAGCCTCGTGGTCATGCTTCTATTGCTGCTGCCTCTCTTTGTAGCCATGCCTTCAACAGGAGCTCCCCTGCAGAGTGGAGCTCCTCAACCTTCCCATTATTACTTAACTCCATGCAGCCAGATATCTTCTGCCTTTAATCCTTCTACGTTTGTGTGTAAAACCACTCTGGGATTGTCAAACCCCAGTTCAATTAAAACCTAATTAGACTGAGGGTTGAGGGAGGCGGTGAAAGGGAGTCAGGGCTGGTAGAAAGGGACAGTTAGGAGTGTTGGACCTTCCATCCTGGCTGGTCTCTCCCCGGAGGTTCTAGTTCTTAGTCTCAGTCTCCCCTCAATATATCTGTATGCTCTCTGGCAGCGCCCGCGGGCAAATCAGGCACAGGGCAGCACTTGAGTTTCCTCTTCCTCTTTAGGACTGGAGGTATGTCACTGGGGGATTTTCCTTGCAACAAGCTGAGAAACATGTTTTAGTAAAAGCACAAATATTGAAGGGGCCCTGTAAAGGTACCTATCAGATGTTTTACAAAATATTCACCAATTCTTTGAAAATGACTATAAATTCTCTGCAGCTTGAAAATGGTCTGGTCCATTGTTATTGTTATCTGCCATCTAGTTGGAAATGGACCCACAGCTGATCCTCCAGCAGGTTTTTAAAGAGGCTGTCAATCACATATATATTTGTGTGTGTGTGTGTGTGTGTGTGTATCCCTTGTATTTAAATGTCAATTGGCCCCGGGGCCTAGTGTTATTCTTCTGGAGGAACATGTTTCTAAGTCGTACAGCACTCTTCTGTCAATTTGCTGCACTGAGGTAATCTGGGTTTACTGTGAAGCTGAACCTTGCATCACTGGGGGTCAAATGCCATAACGACTGCCCATTGTGGACAATGTTTGGTGGAACTCCCAGTTTAAGTCTGGTTTGGAAGCAGGAGTGACATCCACTTCCTAAATCACATGTCTCTGGAAATTCTATGAACCCTGAGAAATGACGATAGTTACAGGAAGGCTTCAGGCCTTTGGTTCATACGGTCACTATGAGTCGTGTTCAACTCTACAACAATCAGCAACAAGAACAAATCTCACAGGAGGAGATTGCCCATTTTCCCCCCATAGAACAGGTGGTGGATTTGAACTACCTGCCTTTAGGTTGGCAGTGCAATTCCTTTTTAGCCAGATTGACGTTCCTTCAACAGTTTTCTATCTTTATTCCTTGATAAAGATCTCTAAAGTGTTGCCCCTTTTTCCTTTCCTTCTCTGTTGACAAAATTTATTTGTTGATATACTTGTCCGGTGCTTTAGTGGTAAGGAATTCTACTGCCAACCCAAAGGCAGGTGATTCAAATCCACCACCTGCTCCAAAGGACAAAGATGAACTATCCCCTCCCATGGGATTTACTACTTCTAAAAACCCGCTATGAGCTGGTTCTAGTTCAATGGTAAACAACAATAACAATCATTCTCAATTTCTAAGCCAAAGTTATTTCAGTCAGCTTTGCTGCAGAAGGTGGTGATGGGTAAAACCTTCACAACAAGTAAAAACATGCAGAGGTTCAGCAGCTCTGTGATGGGCGGCTCAGATGAAATAAAACAGAGTTTAGGCTCCTAATTCCATATTTCCAGTTCAAGACACCTTCGTCTTCTTTAGAAAACTATTGTCTTTGCATACTGGTAATTGGATTTAGCAATATTTAACATAACATTTACAGATAATGGTGCTAATTAATGGTCAGGAACGGTGTGTGCAAATTATTAGAAGAAAAGTTCATCACACAGCTAATGACAAAAAAGAGAGAGGTATCCTTCTTTTCCTGCCACTTCCATCCCTATAAAACAGCTCAGCTGAAACCCGACTTGCTAAATTACATTTATGCACAAAGAACACGGAGATATACTTAACAAAATGAAAGTTTGAATAAAGCCAGGAAGAACTTTCTGTCCCCACCACTAATGATTGCTAATTACTTTGTGTACATAGCACACCATGACTCCATCAAGCATGTCACAATGCCTCTGGCATGACAATTAATTATTATGAACTGTGACACTACAGATAAGAGGTTTTGGATAATTAGAATGAAGATGAAGGCAGGCTTTTGCCTCCCTACTGAGAGCAAGGGAACAAAGACGCCTGATCCTTCAGCATGCCTTGCTACATATTTTAAGTCTGAACCAGTTTGCTATGTTGCAAAATTTTATTTATGGAACAACAATAATTGGGTGCCAGAATTCCATTAAATCTTCCCCTGAATTTATAAAGAAAAAAAAGATTTCTGGGAGTGGGAAGGAGACAGTATATGCTGGGAAGGACTGCACATGACCTTTGGCTGCTTTTGAACGTGTTTTCTTTCATTCTCATCTCTGAGCCTTTGTTATCTCTAAAATGAAGAATAATAAATAAGATATATTGTATAAGGTTGTTTTAAGTATTGGAAGAATTGGCCCATGTTAAATGCCACAGGGCATATAAAGGCTGTCTATTTAGCCACCAACTCATGGTGTCTGACTCATGAGGAGCCTATGCACAAAAAGCTTGGACCATTCTGATTGATATGGTTTTCATTAGCTGATCTTTAGAAGTCCATCACCAGGTCTTTATTCTTAGTTTCATTAGGCTGGAAATTCTGCTGAAACCTGTTAAGCATCATAGTGACCTAGGCCTCTACCAACAAGTAAATTTGGTGCCTTGAAAGTACATGAGGCCAGGAGTTGAAACTGGGTCTTCTGTACAGATGGCTGGTTTACCATTGAACCACCCATGTCCATTTTGAGGGGATTAGAGTGAATGTTACATGAATGGGCTAGTAGTAAGGAGTTGCACTGCCAGCACAAAAGCAAACAGTTTGAATCAACCAGCTACTCCTCAGAAGAAAGATGGGACATTGCCTTCTGTGTGATTTACTGTCTCTTCCACTTCTTAAATAATAGGCCTTATGAAATGTCTATGTTCAGCTTTTAAAGGAAATTCCAAACTGCCTTCCAGAATGGTTGTACCATTGTACAATCACACCAACAATGTAAAAGAGTTCCTATCTCACCACATCCTTTCCAATATTTATTACTTGCTGTCCTGTTAAACTTTGCTACTACTACTGGAGTGAGATGGTATCTCATTGTGGTTTTGATATGCATCTCTCTTATTGCCAGTGATTTGGAGCATTTCTTCATATGTTTGTTGGCCATTTGAATATCTTCCTCTGTGAAAATTCTTTCCATGTCTTTTGCCCATTTTGTAATTGGGTTATCAGACTTTTTCTTGTGGATGCCCAGGAATATTCTATAAACTTTCATTATGAGACTCTTGTCTGAGATGGCATTGCCAAATAAATGTTTGTTCCTGGTCAGTAGGTTTTCTTTTCACTCTGTTGGAAAAAGTTTTTAATGAACACAGAGATTTAACCTTTAGAAGGTCCCATTTATCAATTTTATCCTCTTCAGATTATACATTTCTGGCTATATTTGGCAGTCTTTCTCTACTGTAGAGAGAGCTTCTAAGCTTTATTCCAGTTTGTCTCTTAGGAACTTTATGGTTTGGGGCTTTACTACCAAGTCTCTTACACAACTCAAGGTGATTTTTTGTGTGTGATATGAGATGTGGCTCCTGTTTCACTTTCTGCAGAAAGCATTGCTTGGAATATACCCCCCCGCCAAAAAAAAGAGAATGGAGGCTCAAACAGAAACTTATACACCAATGTTCATAACAGCATTATTCACCATCACAAGAATATGGAAACAGCCCAGATGTCGAACCACAAAGGAATGGATTGAGAAGTTGTGGTACATTCATACAATGAAATACTACGCAGCATGAAGGAACAATCATTTTGTAAATTACTGCAGCCTACAATATGGATTGAAGCTCAATGTCAAGAAGACAAAGATTCTCACCACTGGATCAATTGGCAGCATCAGGATGGATGGTGAAGAGATTGAGATTGTACACAGCTTTAGTTTGCTTGGCTCCATAGTCAACAGTCTTGGCACCAGCAGCCAGGAAATTAAAAGGCGCATTGCCATGGGAAAGTCTGCTGTTAGGGACCTCTCCAAAGTACTGAAGAGCAATGGTGTCTCTCTGGAGACTAAGGTGCGCCTGATACAGGCCATGGTCTTCGCAATCACTTGTTATGCATCAGAGAGTTGGACAATGACCAGGGAGGATAGAAGGAGAGTTGATGCCTTTGAGCTGTGGTGCTGGAGAAGAGTATTGAGAATACCATGGACTGCTAGGAAAACAAACGGATTTGTCCTGGAAAGCTTAAACCGGGTGGCTCCTTGGAGGCAAGGATTCTGAGGTTCCGTCTAACATACTTTGGACATGTTGTGAGGAGAGACTGGTCCTTAGAGAGGGACATCATGCTTAGGAGGGTGGAGGGATGGTGCAGGAGAGGAAGGCCCTTTTGATTCAGTGACTGGGATAATTGGGATGGGAGTGTCAGAGACAGTGCGATTGGCACAGGACAGAGCGGAGTTTAGGGCTGTTGTACATCGGGTCGCTATGAGTCGCAGGCGACTCAACGGCACATAACAACAACAACAACAGCCTAACTTGGGAGAGACTGGAGAGCATTATGCTGAGTGAACTAACTCAGTCCCACAAGGACAAATACTGTATAAAACCATCATTGTAGAATGAGTATGAGGATCCAAGGGGGGGAGGCTGGAAATAGAGGAGTGAGGATGAGGGGAGAGAGTTAATCATATGGTTGCACAATTCGATGGGTGGGTGGGGTAAAGGACATGGGAAGGCTCTTTGGTGAAAAACAATTTATTCAAACTTTGTAACTAAATCAGAGTAATATTTAAAAAATTTAAAATTTTTTAAAAAATAACAGGTCTTTGAAAACCCTGTGAACACTAGAGAAACATGGTTAGAGTAGTGAAGTGGTTGGAAGTCAGTGAGATGAGGAAAAATAATGACACAGTGACTGCCACAATGGGCTTTAATATGTCAGGATGACACAGGATA